AGGACGCATTCATTGTCTTCTGTCGTGAATGCTGTTTGAAAAAGAACGAGGCAGAGGCTGCACTACCTGCAGAAGGCAACCTGGTCGCACGACATCAGCGTCGAGCTGACCTCTCCAAAACAATCTCATACCAATGGCGTTCGCTGTTTGTAGAGGAACGTAAATACTGGGGCGAACTCGCGAAGCAGAGGAAGAAAGAGCACGAGGAGATGAATACCCATGGTACGTCTATCGGTTGTTGTGATTTGCTAAGGTAGTGATAGTTTTGTTTCTGTTATAATGTGTTAATATTATGTACCGTTCGGCATTGTTAGTAAAGAATAAAATATTTAAATAAAATATATATTGTATAATAAGCCATTCAGATAAGATATAAGCTGTAAATTAACTTATTTAAGGATTATAAGATAGCAGAAGAAGTATTATGCCATATCAGAAGAGGGGTGCAATATATACCATTATAGACTTTCCTAAGAGCTATAATTCTTATATCCCCATTGTAAGGACATGTAATGTTTATTAATTCTCATAACATAAATCTGTCTTATTACAACCTTATAGTATCTTTTATATATCTTATCCAATGAGGGGTGCAATAAATGTCATTATGGATAATATTGTTTTTTTACATATTATATATGCATATAAGAGTATATAATAATAAAGACTTTTTCCTGAGGCTGCAGGTTGGGATGGTATGATCACTGATATCAACAAGGGTCGTGGAAAGACCTACTTGTACGTCATCTGGAAATCTATCACCGTTTAGACACGGTAAGTTTCCATGCCACTCTTGACGACAATGTTATTCTGGCTAATGACCATCTTCTCGTCCCTTCTTACACCCCTTATCTTTCTTCGCCAGGTTGTCCCTCCATTTTATCGTTTCGTCCCGGAAAAAAAATCGCAGACCACTGAAAGCTATCCAGCTTTAAACCCGTCGCACTCAACAAGGTAGAGAAGGACGGGCTCTAACTATATTTGAACACTTTACTATCTAATACAAATTGCAATACACAGACATAAGTTGCAGTCGTGAAACACAGCAATATATGCGCTCTTATGATCCATCTTTCTCTACAGCACCTTTATTAGTGTGGACAAGTCTATTGGATTCAGAAATTGCATCTCTATCCGCATCTTCAGCTACTCTATCACCATCGTGTTCCACTAGACCAGCACTTGGAGTCACTTTCTTGAATTCATGAGGGAGCAAGACAGCACGGTCAATCGCGACAGGTAAGTAACGGTGTCGTCCCCGTATCATCACAATAATTATGATGAATTTCGAGAGCGATGTAAGGGCCCCAGAAAAGGAGAAGCTATCCTGAACGTTTAAAACGTGTCAAAATCACCGATATACAGATACAGCAGTGGTAACAAGGAAATTACTGACGTAAGGCACACCCAAACTCATCCCAACCCCAGCGTAGGCAGACATCATTTCGAATACTGGTAATATAGAACGGATATGTACCACAACTCTAAATGCTGTAGACAAGGAGAGACTGACTGAGAGCGAAGATGGTGAACCATTGGAAGTTACCTTGGTTCTGAATCTTGCCGCGTTCAACAATACAGCAGAGGAACAAGGCCACGCCAAGCCACCACATATCTTCGTAGAGCACACTTCGTTAGAAATCGCGAACCCGAACAACAAAGTTCACGCCCACCAAAAGCAAGTTGTCTTCGCGTATGCCATACAATGAACTTGCCGTATGACGCAAAAGTAGCCTGCTCCACCGTCGGCTCTTCTGCGTGATAATCTTCTTGGTCTTCGAAGATACCTAGTGACTTCTCTTCATAGACGTTCGTTGCCCGGACACTTGGAATTAGTTTGCGTCTTAGCAAGCGTTGACGTGAAGAAAATGAATTACTTGTATCATACCTGAGTGTGATCGGATCTTAAGAGTAGTCAGACCTTCGATAGTACTTGATGCTGAGGCAAAGAACAAAAACGACTTACAAATGGCGAGATACATCACCATCACATACAACACCCTACACATTTATCAAATTAGTAACAGTCTCGTAATATTGCATATCTAATGATTCAGGCTAAAGAGCAAATTACCCACTGTAAAGCTGGTGCAAAACTCGACGTCGCCACAGTCGCAAATCCCGCAGCTCTTACGGACGTTGACTGCAGAATGCCGATTGCAAACCGTACGCCGAGTGGAATCGCATCGTAGACAGCCTCACCAATATTTAGTACAAGGAAGAAGAACCAGTCGACAATGCTGTACACAAAGGGGGTCCGTCAAGAATGGTACGATTTAAAAGGTAGGAGATTGCCTGAATATGAACGAATAATGATACGTACATGAGAAATATCACCACACCCCATAGGAGCCACGTGTGAGGCGAAGGAAAGAGGTAAATATAACATCGGCGAGGATGGTCGAGCAGAAATTGCAGAGTCTCATTTAGAGAAGTACGAGTTGAGACCTTCATGATAAACCAACTTTTTCCGATTGATCAATTAGTCGACCGGTATCATCGAAACAATAGTAAACTTACATGTAGAACCGAAGACTGAACAATTGCATAGTATTTTGGTAATTTCCTGAGATGCATTACAGAATTAAATACTCACAATACGGGCTGTAACATTATCGTTTCAATAATTTATCGTTCAACTAAAATAAGAAAGAAGTGCAAAGACATACATATGCTAGATTCCCAGCCAAGATCAAGAACGTGCATACGAATATAAGAGGGTACGCCTCCTGGAACGGAACCATCGACTGATCCACAAGCGACATTCCCGTCGTCGAGTACGCCCCTACAACTTGGAATGCAGAATACCACACCGGATTTATCTTCCGATGTTGATTTGGTGGTTCAAGAATAGGTGCCCAACGCGGAATGGCCATGTAAGGCGCGATGATCGTGAAGCAAAGGAGGTGGACTCCGAAATGATACTGTAATAAAAGACATTTTTCATCAATTCTGAAGCTCATCCGTATATCCGAAATTGTTATCAGCAAGGGAAAGTGAATGATCGACGTACAGTAGCGATGAGCCAAAGGAGCGCATTCAGACCACGATACTCCACACCACCAAGTTCCTCCAAATCTTCTTCAGTCAAATTATAAAACATCGAGTTCCTTCCAATGAGCGCATTGAACGAAGCCGAGAAATACTTCGCCGTGCTCCGTTTCACTCCTTTCTCAGAGCCACGTGCAGTCGAGCCAGATAGTATTATATGCAGCTTCCTCGCTATGGCAGCCGAAGCACGTGAAAAGGCGCGACGTACGCTTGGAAATGCTTTCTTGAGGAGTTGGTAGAGAAGCGTTGTAGGATATGGGAATCCGCCGAAACCACTGTTCCTCGTTTCTGGATACGATTGCTCGGACTGCGCGTGAATTGTGTCGCCTGCGTGGATGGATCTAAGTGTCTGGGTAGGGAACGTTGATGCACGACGCTGAAGCGGTACACCACCAGGAGGGATGTATGCTAGAATATGCGAAATCAGTTTTTCTTAATAATAAGGGATGGATAAGCAGAGGAGTCAAGGAAACGTACTTCGATCATCATGGACTATGATACTGGACGTTCTATGGATAGCTCCTGAGCCTTGTCTCTCTGGAACTCGGACGGGCTCACGGAAGTCCACCGCCTGTGGCTTGTCAAGGGTTGTTTCTGAAAGAACGGACGGGTCCTCGCCATGCGTGACAGCTTGCCGCAACAATGATGAAGAAGCCGTGCTGTGTGGTGCTAAGTTCGGGACTGGAACCGGATCAGAGATCAGACCGTTTGGGTCGACACGTCGAGGCGCGTCGGACGTGCGCCGAATTATTCTGGACTGGCTTGAATGTCCCGATTGCTTGGCTTCACTTTCGTTTTCTTTCGTGAACTTTCTATTCAAAGTGCTTTCATTGGCACTCTGCCTCGTCGGATGTCTGGAGAATACACGTGATATTCCACGCAGTAACCAGTCCTTGCCTTCCTCGCTGTGACCAGTGAGTTGCTTGCGCTTTGTGATCTCTGCTTCCACTATGTTTTTCAATTTCTTGTTGAAGTAGCGTCTGGAATTTTATTTATGCGTCACTTTCTAATGCTAATTCCTAGAGTATATAAGTCATTACATACCTCCGAATGTAAACAATCACCCATGAGACAATCACCTTTGATGTCTCCGGTCAGTTGTTTGTCAATGCAACAGAACACAGACAGGATCATACCGGATTTCCGACCGATGCAAGGAAAAACAAGATCGCTTGCTGGAATCCCGTGAGGGAACTCAAGTCGACGGTAATGAGTCCACAGCAGCATATCGCGCTAACACAAGCAAATAACGCGTCTATGAACGCAACATGTGTCGCGCCATTTGCAGCATAGAATATCGCGGCGAAAATAAGTGGCGTGAAGATGCTGAAAATGAGTGTATGTCAGCCGCAGATGGCTATCTCTATCATCACATGGATATCGCACTTACAAGAAGAGCACATGTATGCGAAAGAAATTGAGGTTGCGTGCAATGTACTTTGCAAGTTTGCCCAGGTTCATTACTGAGACGACGTTAGCCTGAATAACAGCTATTCATCGTTGTATTATACTGTGGCGACGAGGGATACGTATATTAATGAGGTTGTAATAGTTGGAGAGGCATTACATTCTTGCCTCACCTCACAAGTCGCCACTGAGGCTGTGCTGCTGTACGCGAACCTCCGTTAGTGCACATTACGTAATCCACTAAGCTCTAACTGAAACTGCACGTGGATGCGGGAAATAATAAAGGCGGATTCTCCATTGAGGAAATGTCATGAGCGAATCAACAAGTCAAAATTGACAAATGTTGCCCATGTCGGCCAAAAGCACTGTTATGTGTTCTGCAGGTTCTGCTTCCGTCATTTCCATCTATAGAGCTCGGACTATCAGCCTAATTTGCCTCACCGAACCCTTTCAATAAAAGACGGATGACATTTCGGACTTAGACCCGTACCGAGCTTACATGAATAGTTCTTGGGCGGTGATGCTGCTTACCGCGGTGTCTGCCAAGGGCGACCAACGAGTACCAATCACGATCATACAATGATCGCATGATGTTGGACGAATCTTGGAGCAATAAATCTACTTGCACGTTTCTCCTCCTTCTCCCGCGTCGTCCGCGAGTTTTTACTAGTGGCACAGGCGTCTCCTCTGTCATTTCTACTCCCTTATGTTCTGCTGAACCTCGAGCATGATGCTAGTTGCCCTCCTTGCCCCTCTTTTACTCGCGACAGATTGTATCGCTCAGACAGGACCCTTGACTGCTTGGTCGGCTACGCCTTTCAACCCTCCATCATTACCTCTCGCCGTCAAATCTTCATATCTCAACGTATGGGCTCCATTAGGATACGGAAACGGCTCTCAAGCTCTCAGCGATGCATGGCCGAGAACCTGGGACAGAAGTCTTAGTGTACATTAAACTAGATTTCACCATTTCGTTTCTAACAAGTCACTCCCCTAGGCTTTGGGATGGTACGGCTCGATTCGTGTCGACGGGACCGCATATCGGTTTCTCGGTGCAACAGACAAACCAGCTGGTAATACTGGTGTTCTTCAGAAGGAATTTACATTCACTCCAACACGATCATCGTATCTTTATCAAACCGGTCCGGTCAATGTAAATATAACTTTCTTGAGCCCGATTGAGGTGCGTCGTAGCACTTTTTCTTCAATCCCGACACCCAGCTAAATTCATCATTTCGTTAGCCCACCGATCTCGCTCGACAATCACTGCCATTTTCATACATGTACATCACCGTGCAGCCAAACGATGGAGGCTCTCACAGTGTCCAGATTTACTCAGACGTATCGGGAGGTGAACGCGACGTCCACTCCAAGAGACATTCTGGTTGATGTTTGTGTCTGTAGAATTCATTGGCGGAAATTCTGGAGTGCAAGCAAACTGGACGTTTAACGAATCGAGCGATTTCGTATATTTGCAAATGAATCCTTCTTCACCCTTGCCATTTCAAGAACTCAATAAACGACCGCAAGACGGGACGTTATACTATTGCATGAAGAAGGTACATCAACCCGTCCTATGACAATTGACGATGGTATGCAATGCAGAGCCTTTTCTGATTAATATCGTTGTAGGCAAATGGTGTATCGTGGCAAATTGCAAACTCCCCAGACATGCGTGGATCGTTTAATAACGGGTCCGTTACGACTCTTCCAAAGACATCCGATGGCTCTTTTCATGCTATTGGCCAGTAAGCTACATTTCATGCATTTTTGTTACCCGTCTCATGGTAAACGAAATCTAGACCATTTTTTGACACCATGGCCATTGCAGTTGACCTTGGAACTATTTCGTCTGTGAGCGACCCAGTGGTGTATACTTTGGGTGTCGTACGTGATCCAGTCGTGCAATACGCCAATAGAAATGTCCAGATTGAGAAGAGAAGCTCGTATTACTGGTCAAACTTCTCCAATATTCGTGACGCTGTCAGCCTTACCTTCTCTTAATTCCTAAAAAGGTTTCATTTAACACAGGCTATGCAGATCGAGGACGTACTGAACCATTTTGATGATGCTATGACCGCCGCAACAACCCTAGATAACAAAATACTCAGAGACGCCGGGCAGGTCTCAACCAATTATGCGGACATCCTAAGCCTCTCCACCCGGCAGGTCATGGGTGCGCTTGAATATACTCTTCTCAAGGATGCCTCTAGCAGTTTCAACATGTCGGACGTGAAGGCGTTTTTGAACGATATGGGTGGTATAGGTTCCGGGGGGTGAGTTATGCCGTTCTACTTTTGCAGCCGGAACACGTGAGTAATGCGTTGAAACTATCAGAGTAAGTGCCGTCGATGTGCTGTATGCCGCGATGCCTGCGTATCTGTATCTTAATCCTGATATTCTCGGCTACCTCTTGGGTCCGCTTATGGAGTATCAAGAGAGTACGCAGTACACGAATCCATACGCTGCACAGGACCTAGGTATGCCATCCGGACTTTTCCTTCTTATTTTATCTCGACTAATATTTATTCTTATAGGTACTGCATTTCCGAATGCCACGGGAAATCCCAGCGGGCATAACCAAAGGATTGAACGTATGTATCTATGAGTAACGTTCAAGGCTACGTGCCTCGGCGCCTCTGACTTATTAAATGTAGAATCTGCGAATATGATCATCATGAGCTTGGCGCATGTTCAGGCTTCCGGTGATGGTCGTCTCATTAACCAACACGTAAGTGCTTCATTTAATATGCCGTTTCCTTCTCTGATTTTCTACCAAATCCAAAACAGTATGATCTCCTGAAGAAATGGGCTGATTACTTGGTTAACAATACTGTGAATCCCGGAGACCAGTACGTTTTTACTTTGAGTTCTTGACAGGCCTCTTCTGAACCAAATGACGCGCAGGACGGCGTCACTCTCAGATGCTATAAACGCGAATAATCAGACAAACGTCATACTGAAGGGTATCGTTGGTATCGGCGCCATGGCCAAGATAAGCGGCTATACGGGACATACGGCCGACCAAACCAATTTTAATGTATGTGTATTTTGTGAGATGAATTAAGTACGATTCTGACTATCGTCCCTTCGCAGGCTGTTGCACAGCAATATGCTCAACAGTGGACAAGCATTGCGGCTGGTTCAGCTCAGATTTCGATAAGCTTTGGCTCATCGAACTCAGGATTAATCTATAACTTGTATGCGGACAAACTGTTGCAACTAAACCTTTTCCCGAACTCCGTGAGGTCCTCTAAAGTTTCGTCGTATTACAAATTTCCTAATGTCCTTTAAGGTGTATGTCGCACAAACAGAATTTTACAGGTCACAACTTTGTACGAGTTTTTTAATTATTTGTCTCCTGCCCTGATATCTGTTCTACGCCAGCACAGTGGCAATATGGTATTCCCATGGACGCCTCAAACACTTCCTCAGTCACGCGTTCTGGTGAGATCTTGGGTTGCTGCTTGACTTGACCATGGCTGATCAGATATTCATTAGACTGGATGATGTTCGCTGCGGCTAGTACCTCTGATATATCCGTGCGAGACGCCATGCACTCGCAAATCCATGGGTATATATCAGCATTTCTACCACAACACCTTCCATTTCCAATTCTGTTCAGTCCACGCGATGGAACGCAGATTGGAGGAGAGAATAGGTGAGGATGCGGTCGTTGTCGATCACTGGCGCGTATAACAAAACATTTGTCACGTAGCCCAACAATAGGAGCGACGTTCGCGAATTTAGCATTGGGGTAAGTTCTAAACTTGGTTTGCGAATATTTCAACCTCATGTCATTTTAGTCTCCCTATCAGGCCAATCTCGGTGACAGGTACACCTGGGGACGACAGCAATACAAGCAATACACCAGCTATTATCGGAGGCGCTGTCGGCGGGGCTGTAGGCCTGTTAGGCATCGTTGGCGCGAGTGTATTCTTCTATCGTCGTCGTCGAAGCAAGTACGAGTCAGCTAGCAAGTACAACCGCGTGGATCGATCGACGTCCGGGGACTACCCAGCCAGTTCCATGGTCGTGCTCCGTCCGCCAGCTTCGACAGCGGACATGTCTGAACTGACCATTTCCCCATATACTGGTTATAGTAATTCCTCCGGTAATTTAATTAGGTCGACCTACGTTGCTCCATCATCCTCTGGTACGCTGACCGTATCTGCAAAAGACTGGAGAGGTAAAAACGCGGTATATGGGAAATACAATAACAAGTCCGAAATTCCGCCGCCAAGTTCGGCAGGCTCGAGCACGTTATCACCTAGTGCGCCACCAAATCCCCGTAGGAATATCCTACGGCTGGGTAACTGGAGAGCCGAAGTGGAAGGTCTGCGGCAGGAGATCGAGCAGATTAAGCGGGAGCGAGACGGGTTGGCGGCACCGCCACCCTCGTACGAGGATGAACTTCAAAGGCTCCAGGCATTGCATTCGCGATAATGCATCGTTTATTTATTACATTTATCTTTCGTTCCTTTCAGTATGTTGTCTTAGTATCTATAGCTCTGCATTGACTGCCCTAATGTACTCGAGAAAAAGCAAATTACTGGCTCTCACTAGAGATTACATTCATTGAAATATACATGCATTGAATTGAATAGCTTGTTTTAGTGAAACAAAATGACTTACGTACAGCACATCATGTCTGATGCCAACGCCAGCATACACTGATGCGATTCGGACACTAGGAGAGAAATTACTCCAGGCAAATGATCAATAGTAAGCCCCAAGTAAACACTGTGCAGACAGCATTGCCCTCTGTCAATAAGATAGACAATCACGGGGTCATGAAATTATAAGAATTCGTATTGTAATGTTCCACCAACAGAGTCCTGTCCTACCCTGTCTTATAAATACATGGAGACTATACGAACGTACAATAATCACTGCGAAATGCTTATGCCTTGTCCATGGCTATTTGTCTGGGCATCATGAAGTTGAATGCGAAGAACGACAAACAGAAGTTGAAAAAAGAAGAGAAATCAAGCCTAAGTGTCTGAGACCTCACCATTATCAACCACGAGTCCATCTCCATTCTCATTATCCCACATCTTCTGCGATTGCGACCTCACCTTCATCGGCGGCTCAGGGATGCGTGCATTCGACCTAAGCGCTACCATCACCTCAGGAATCACATCCTCATGTACGTTCTTTCCCCAGAGTATATCCAAGTGCTCATACCCATCCAGCGGGATCGACACAGCGTGTTCGGGTAGTTGACGTCTCATCACGTCAATATCCACTAACGAATCACTCGTTCCGTAAAGTAACACGGTCGGTGTCTTGATGTTCTTCGTCGGGAACCTTGCAGGTCGATAATAAAATCTCGCCTTCCCACGCTCGCCTGCACGTAAAGGACTAAGCCCGCTCTTCACATCGTCGTCGTACATTGTGAATTCCGCATTCCGCATAATCTGGAACCAATGTACTACGGCTTTGGTCGACGTACCGGAGTACAGATGTGCATACGCTGCGATTTTTTGGATTGGAGTGATTTGATCAGAGGTCCAAGCGAAGAGGAAGGTCAGTGAACGTGAGATTATGGAAGTGAAAATGGGCGGATAAAGGATAGATTGCCAAGTTGTTGTAGAATGGAGGATTGAACGCCGGCCGAAGAACAAGTACATAAGAGCAGGACTAAACAAGTTTATCAGTAAGGTAGAATCAGGGAAATTGATATGAATAGCGACTCACGAGGCTTTCATAAGACCATCAACGAGCGGCGCAGATAAGCCTGGTGGACTCATGGCAGGGGCCAAAGCGACAAAAACGTCGACCTTCTTATTCAACGACGGGTTAATGCTAAGAGCAGCAAATGCCTGCGCCGTTCCCTGACTGAAACCGACATAACTTAGGCTTTTCTCGCCCGTCGCCTCTAGAATGTACGCAATGCTATCCGGGATGTCATGCATAGCATATTCATCGATACCGAAGTTCCAGAACGCTTGACTATGTGGATTGAGGGATGTGTGCTTGCGTGAGTATTTGTTCCCGCGATTATTGCCTAACCAGACATCATAACCTGCCTCCGCAAGTACAAGCGGTAGGGAACGCTCTGCGCTCGTCAAGCACATGAAGATTTCAGAACACATAAGAAGTCCATGGTGGAGATAGACAACTGGTTTTCTCCTCCTGGCTTCACAATCAGTCCGCTCACTGCGGGCTCGAGGAATGCGATGGATCGAAAGCAGATAGCCATCCTTCGTCTGTACGATGTGCTCCTCCCAATCATATCCATATACGGAGCACAAGTCTCCAAACTCAACAGCGACACGGATTAGATGAGCACGATGAGCTTCTTCACCAGACACGACAGGTGGCTTAGAACCGACATGAACGATCGCTTTGAAGAGCCGACGCGTCTGGTCATGGAACCAGCGGATGACCGGCGATGGTAGGAAGAAGATTATTGAACGCAATAGCGTTTCGAATGTTATTAAGATAAAACCGAAGATGACTGCGACGTATTCACGGTAGTATAGCCGCCCGAGAACTGGAAAACGTGCCATGGTTGAGGCCGGATGACTTTGAAGTTTTGTGTGTCTGATCTCAGTACAGCTTCAAACCCGAAAAAGGTGGTTTACGTACAGATAGATAGGTGGATGCTGCAAAGAATATTTTACTTGGGCAAGACGAATGCCCAAAATAGTCGAGTGCAATGCGTAAGTAGTGGCACAAGTACAGCGAATATGAAGCAAAGTTGCGGTGCTTTCCGTAGCTAGTCGAGCTTGCACGAAAATTCTATTTGGACGAATTCTAGACATTCATCCTCTCTAGCCTGCTTAAAAATGCTATGAACGTAGAATACTAGCGTTTCAAAGAGCTGTAAGGATGATAGAGAGACAGACGATGAAATAAGAATGAAACATTGAAAGTGGAGTGTAGGGACTGTCACCGTTGACCGCAACAACAACCGCGGATAAGCTTATCCGCGGCTAAAATTCCCACGGCTACCGCAGTAGCCGCGGTTAAGCAAACCTTTGCTCGATACCTGGTGTAAGTTTTGCTCTTTTAATTTTCTTATCACACTTTTTGTAGTTACATGTTAATCAATATGTACTATTAACTCTACTAATTAGTATGGGTATAACAACATTAAAATATACAAAGAAAAAATATAAATAATTGAAAAATTAATGCAAGTAATTGAAAATATACTTAAGAACTGGTAGTTTGAGATGTTTTAGCTTTAAGAATTGAAAAAGCATCATTAATATTAGAAAAAAGTAGGGTATCATTCTAAGATCCAACAGCCATTTGAGCAATAAAAGTATTTGAAGCTATATTATGTTGCATAAAATTAATTTGATGATGTTCATGAGAAAATGCTCTCTCTGTATCAACAGAGGTTGCTAAATAAATGAAACTTAAGATTTATTGTCTCAAGTTCTAAATAATAAAACTTACCAGGTGCTGAACAGAAGTCAAGGCCCATGTAGGCTAAGCTTGGACATCCTCCAATTTTTGAATACTAATACTGAAGGAGTCCACCTGCTTCCTTAATAGTTGATAGAGGAACAGCTGTACTGGCAAGGTAAACATGAATACTATCAATTGTCTCCCTCTCAGAAGTCATTTCCTCTGCTTCCAGTATATAGCAAGACTGGTGCTTGAATAAAAATTAATATAAAATAAGTAAATAAATAATAAAAGGCTTACAATTGTTTGTGAGTGTTGAAGCACTAAGGAAATAAAAGTACACTAGTACTTTTTGTATGACTCCTCCTACTGTTTTATCACTACATTTCGGATTTCATTAATCTCAGAGACAGGGAAATTGTTTCTGAGAAACTAGTCAAGTTTCTTGTCTGGAGACATTACTATTAAATAAAGTAAATCAATATAATTAATGTACAAAGAATTATTAAGGAATTATACCTATTACAATGTAGTATATCTTACACTCATCAGTAAGAGTATAATACTTCTTGCAAACAAGTGTACTAGCATAGGCAGCAATTCTCAAGACAGAAGGCTGAGAGGTATCCTTACTAGCTCTTGTGAGTGCTTGTTGAATAACCAGAAGCATAGGAATAATATTAGTAATAAGGGGAACATTTGCTTGTGAAAACAAATGTGTTGGCCCCTCAACAATCTATAAAATATGTAAGATAAATAAATATAAAGTAATATAATCACTTACTAGAAGTATATTACATAGTTCTTTTGCAAGGTAGAGTTGGGTGTCTGATAAGACAAAATTTTGAAGCTTAAACTCTTGTACTGTAGTTAATTGCTCAACAATTGGATACAAGAGAAAATAAGCATTCAAACAAGCAAGGTCAGAATTCCACCTTGTGGAAACCCTTCTATCCAAAGTATGCTTTTCACTAGTAATTAGTGAGTTTGGGTCTTTAGTTATAGTATCAACAAGGGACTCAAACCAAGACTTGAGTTGACCTGAATTATTGACTCTTTTTGCCAGACTAGCAACCTAAATAAAACATATTATTATGAGATGATTAGTTTATCAACAGACAAACTACAAGACAATGACTTTATAATGTCTTAGTTAGAATATATACAATATAAGGACAAGAGACACTGAGCAGTCAATCATCACCTTACCCCTTGTCTATGTGTGCCCCCCTTAAGTTTTCCCTCTTATCATGTTATGAGCCTTAAGCTCCCTGCCTACATTAACTTAGTAATATGGTTCCCCCTCACACTGACACATGCTGCAAACCTGCTGACATACTTAAATACTTTGGTCAAAACATCACCATACTTAAGACTGAAGCAAACTACAAGATGTGGCACTACTGTATTGTTTCTAGTGTTACAGCTATGTGCTTTGAACACTTACTAAAGGATGAACTGTAGAACAAAGCTGAGAGGGAGATAGCTAAGGCTATTTATGTATGCATAGTTAATAACATTACTAATACAATATTGGCAAACTATATACACTTTAATACATCTATCCCTCAGTTAATGAAAGCACTTGAAGAATGCTTTAACCCTTAGACAGTACATAAAAAGGCCATTAACAAATCAGTACTGTTTATTTGTAGAGACTATGTAAAACATTTCAGACATACATTAGACAGACTTGAGGAAGCATATACAACTCTGTCTACTAACAGTGATCCACCATACAACTCTACATACAAAGCAGCAATATTGCTTGCTACTCCTGAGTAATATACACATGTAGTAAATACAATAATACAATCTACTGATGCCCAAAACGAAGGCAAACCAGTTAATGAACATAAGAAAGTTGAACCAAAGTAACTAATTCTTACATTGTAGAACACCTATAACAATTACTGTGCTAAACAAGTACAAGATTCTAATGATCAGACAAAGAATAATGTACATGCTAATACAATGTATAAAGCTAATAAGCAGAGGAAATTCAATCTGCCAAATCTGTTTAATCTAACAAAAGCAAAATGTTTCAATTGTGGAAAAACAGGACATTTCTCTAAGGAATGCTACAAACCTCCTACTGAAGCTACAAAGCTTGCCTGTGCCAAACATCAAGCTAACATTGTGTATAAAACAAACCAAACTGTAGAAAACACAACAAACACATTTATTATTGAAAACCTAAACAAAAACAATGTTGAATTAAAGGAAGGCAATGTTGAAATGAACAATAATGTCTACACTCTTATTCCAAGCAACCAGGATAAACAATTCAAACAATACACTTCCTAGGTATGTACTAACATATTTACAAATACAATCATAGCTAACAAGAAATCCTATATACAAACAATGGATTTACTCAATTCTGGTGTATTAATACATACTACTCTCTATCTATTTTGATTAACAGATGTACACAACATAACTCCTACAATTGTAACTATTACAAATAGATCAATGATGACTCTTAATTGAGCTAGATCTATACATATTGAAATTCTGAAGAATATACAAGAAAGAAGTGTCATAACATTACAAAACGTCTATTACTATCTACAAATGAACTTTTCCCTCATAAGTCAAGCACTACTATGTAGGGAAGGTTATTCTTTTATGTTTACAAATGATAATTGTACTATAACATCACTATGTAACAAATATGTTGGACATATATAATTGAGAAATAACTTGTATATTTTGTACAATAATCATTTGTTAAAAATGATGAACAAACTATCTATTTATAATATACATAAACACCTTAGACATATAAGTTACAATTATATCAAACAATTATTAAAAACACAACCAAGTGTACTATCAACTAAAATAACAAACTACAAAGAAAAAGAATGTATTGAATGTATAAAAGCAAATATTGAATGTACACCAATACTAAAACTACATCAATCTCTACTTGCAAATCAATTTGGAGATCTTATTCATATCAATATTATTGGTCCTATCAAACTGTACACATATAAGAACATACACTACTTATTAACAATTGTAGACAATTCTACTCGTTAGTGCATAATGCTCAAATTACAAACAAAATCTAATACATATACACAATATGTATAATGGACAACTAAAATATTTACACAGCACAGAGTTAAAATAAAGCTTTTACAAAGTGATAACAATACTGTATTCCTTAGTGAAGATTTCCAACAATATTTAGATTTATAAGGAACAAAACAAAGATTAACAGTACATTATACTCTACAACAGAACAGAATAGTAGAACAAACTCATAAAACTATATTTAGAGGTGTAAGAGTATATCTAACATCTACTAAATTACTGTTTACATTATGAGCCAAAACAGTAATTCATATTACTTATATTCATAATAGAACACTGTGTACTACATTAAATTACAATACTCTACATTACAAACATTACAGAACCCACAGAACAATTGATAATATACATGAATTTGGTTAATATATTATCATTTGCAACGAAAATCCTACAAAAATACAATAGTAAGGTATCATTACTTGTTGGATAGGATTAGATAATGAAAGTAAAGGCTATAAAACTTGGCACAATAATAAAATCACTATTGAACAAAATATTCAATTTCTCAGTAAACCTCCTCAAATTGAAGGGGAGAAAATAGACAATACAAACAATGATACAAACGAGTGTTTAATAATTAAAAATAACAAAACAGACAATAGAATAATGAGAACAGACAATAATGATACAGACAATGCTGATCCTAATAAAAAAGGAAAAGTGGTAGAACTAACAGACTTAACAGACAACAAAGTTAAATTAACCAAAAAAGAAGTAGAACCTAAACTATGTTGATTGGAACAGAAACAGAAACTGACAGAATGTACTATCAAGCTTAAACAATGTATGGAGAATAAATGTGTAACAAAACACATGTATGCACTTAGCAAAAAGGATGAAGATAATATTACTATTCATTTAACAGAATTTAATACTAAAATAAGTGAAATACAATTGGATCCAACTTTATTTTATGAAGCAATCTAATGTCTGGATTGTGATTCATGGATTACAGCTATGAAAGACAAAATAAAACAATTAGAAAATCATAATACATGGGAAATCACAAATCCATACAATAATATTAACATTATTAGAACACAAT